TTGATGATGGCCATTCTGACCAGTGTGAGGTGATACCTCATTGTAATTTTGATTTGCATTTCTCTAATAATTAGCTATGTTGAGCATATTTCATGTGCCTGTTTCACGTGCCAATCTCATGTTCTCTTCATCGCAAAATTCTTGTCCTCATTTTCCACACGTGGAAACTGAGCTCTAGAGAAATGATGTCAGTTGCCCAGCAGAAGGGCATGGTGCTGACGGTCCCTACGAGGTGTCCTGCCAAGTCCCATGGTTCCCTGAAGTGCATCTAAATGGGGGCGGGGTCCCATCCCAGCCAGAGCAGATCTGCCTTTGTCAGTTTCATCAATAGCAAGTCTACAGGAGAATGCAGCTAAGAGGGTGGTTTTGCCGCTTCTTAAAAACAGCATTGACGCTTGCTCATGGCTCTACCTTGGCTGGTGGGCTGGCCTGGCAGCAAGATGAACTATCGTGAATCCAGAGTTCCTGTATCCCACGCCCAGGTGTTCCTAGAAATCTTCAGTTTCATTCCCTTTACTTTGGCAGCCCCCGTCCCTACTGTCAAATCTATGCCCAGTGTGCCTGGCCTTGGCCCCTGACATGTGACAGGGTTGCCTGGGCCAGCCATTCTCATGAGCTGTCAGGGAGGGGCCGGTGCTGTCATGCTCCAGGTGTTGGAGCGGGAAGTCCCAACCCCCTTCGGAGTCCTGGGGACTCCTTCTGCCCAAGTGAGCACCCACAGAGCCCACGGAGGGGGTCAATCCCGAAAAAGAGAGATCCTCTGCCCCTTTATATCAAAGCTGGGGGTGTAAAGGATGCCCAGCCCAAACCCCGATCTCCCCTTCCTCCAGAGCAGGTTAGGAGAGCATTCAACAAAGGGACAAAGCCAGGAAAGGGTTAACCCAGGGAAAAGCGGCAGAAGCCAATTGATCCCCAGCCCCTCCAGGTTAGGCAATAAGTCCTCTGAGGGCTGCTCTCGCTGACCTCCCTCTGGCGCCGCAGAGCTGGACGGTCACAGCTTCCAGCCTGTCTGGGGGTGGGGGGTTGGTGCTCAGACAGGACAGGAAGGAATGTGGTATGGGAGGGAACCACGGGCTCTGCCTTTTGGGGGGTCCGGAACGGGCAAGGTCCCAGAGGCTTTGTCACCTGACAAGACTGGCAGGAATAGGTGTGAGGGACCCTGGGATGTGGAAGAACCTGGGAATTACTCCAGGAAACTGCAGCCAGTCCTGGCTCCCCTGTGTGTCCTTGGACACTTTGCTCATCTGCTCTGGGCTTCTGGAGAGACCAGCACAGCTAAGGTTTTCTAAAAACCAGAAACTGTGTGTGTGTGGTATAATTTTTGTAATAACTCATTTTTTAGAATCGAGGAGGGAGCTTATAGACATTTGGGCATGACTCACGTAGGCTGGGAAACCATCCTGCTATCTGTTTTCCTGTTGCCAATAATCTTTTATAATGTCACAGTTTTATGATGGAATTTTAAGAGGAATGAGCCTTGACCAGCTGGAAATAATGTAGCTAACATTCAGCCTAGATTCCAGTGTCTGAGAGGCCTCATTTAGCTAACTCAGCTCTAGCAACAATCACCTACTGTGGGAGACCAGTAGACTGAGTAGTTCCAGGAGAATCCCAGGTGGCCTGGAGGCTGGGGTCAGGCAGATGCATTGGTCAGCCTGATGCTCAGGCCCAGGAAGACCGTTCGGGCCAGTGGTACCCAAAGCCAAGAGGCTGCAGTCAAGGTGGGAGCTAGCGCTGCAGGAGGCAGATGAGGTGGGCCCCAGTGCTGGGAGATTTGGTGGTGGGGAGGGTGATAGGCACTTTCTGCCTTTCCAGGGAGGAAGTGGGCACCGGGGGCAGGGGATGGAGCGGGAAAGAGTTGGTAGCGAGAAATGGATGGGACTCATGCCTCTCTGACTGAAGCTGTTTCCTCCCCTCTGTCCACTCCCTCTGCTTTCTCTTCTCCCCATGATCCTTGCTTCCAGTAGAAGAGGGACCCAGAGTCCGAGAGCCTGGCTCCTGGTCCTGACGCATCCTCTCAGTGTCTTACGACCTGGGCCAGACCCATTCATAATCTCTCTGGATCTCGATTTCCTCCTCTGCAAAACGGGGATCCTCTCCTGTCTCTGCCTTCCTCATGGGGTTAGGAGAGCAAATGTGAGACTGCCCGGAAAAGCACCTTGGAAATCGCAAAGCACTCTACAAACAGAATGCATCTCCATGAAACAGTTATGTAACCCGCTGACTCAGAACCGGGCTGAGCTGGCTCCTGTCCCACCCGGAAGTCGGAAGAGCTGGCTTGGTCACTTACCTGGAGGAACTTAGTTTTACTTTCCCTGTCTGACAAAAGAGGATGATGCCCTACTGTCCTCCTTTTTTCATGGAGTGATGGTGAGAATCAGAGCAGATCGTGTAAGTGTCAGAGATTAATATGTTGTTAATCATCGTAACAGTAGTGCAGAAGAAACTTTACACCCCTGGTCCGCACTTGAAGAACCTGGGAAATCTGGCAACGCCCTCCTTGCATATCTGTGTCTCTTCGCAGGGACTGTGGGTGTCACCAGGTTCTTCCCATCCAGGCCTCTCAGCCCCACCCCCCTCAGGACTCAGTCACATGCCAAGCTGGCTCTGTCTACACCTACATTCATGAGCACCTGTCTTTTTGCCACCAGGACTGCCCGCTCTAGGAGGACACTGGGCTGTGAGTGGCACAGACCGTCTTTCCAAGTTTCCTAGCATTTAGTGCAAAGGCTGGAACACAGTAGGCACTCCATAAATGTGGAATAAAGTATGTTTTTTTTTAATATATTTCTTTTATTTACTAAATCAGAGTTTCTAAAACTGTTCCATCTGTCCTGTAAGATGTTCCACGAAAAAGAAAAGGACTCCTGTCTAAAAGTTCATGAAATAGGAAACCCTATTCCTTCCTTAGAGATTTATCAAGCACGCTAGCACACTAAAGTCTGTGAGAAGTCCTATAGTCGAAAAAGTGATTTAATTTTTTTGCTTAACATCTTTATTGCAGTATAATTGCTTTACTAAAGTATGTTTTAAAATTATGTTCTTAACCTACTCGCCCATCACACCTGACCCAGGTCATATACTTCAGGTTCTGTTAACTCCTTTTTTTTTTTTCTTTAATTGAAAGCAGTAAGAAGTCTGAAACGAAGTCGAGGAATAAGGTAAGGAGGAAAAAAGATCCAGGGGATGTTTAGGCAGCACATCAGGCTGAAAGGTGGACAGGACTTTGGGGTTATGAGTCCTAAATCTCAAATTCAGATCCCAACTGTAACTTACTAGCTGGATTCCCTGGGCTTCAGGGCAAGTCTCTTAGCTTCAGTTTCGCCAGCGAGAAAGAGAGATTCCTTCTTTCCTGATTCACAGCGTTGGAGCAAGAACCGGATGGCATGTGTGGAAATCATAACACGAATTTTTATCGAAATGCACAAGGTCAGAGTCCTCAGGGTTCTATAGCTTGTAGATTACTCTAGCATTTCCCAATTGGGCCTGAAGAGGGCACTGTAGCCCAGAAGCAGGGTTGGCCAGAGTGAAAATTCTCCTTGGGTCCTGCCCTTGGCTGACTCCTCCCACCACAAGTTCACCCCTACCCTCTCACACACATATACTTGGCAAATACCCTCCAATCCCCCAACCTGCCCATATTCTTCCTGCCGCAGATTGCAAAACATTCCCTGCTTTGTGCATATTTGCCGGGGTGCAGGCTGACTTCTCCGTTTTGTGATATAAGTGAAAGACCGATCCCCCCCATCCATGTACGATAATGGCCAGGATCGGGGGTTCCTGCACAGTTCTGTGACAGCTTTTGCTATCTGCACAGGTCTCTCTTGGGCATTACTTTGCAGCTGAAACATTATTTCTGGGAAGGAATTTGAAATTGATTGTCAGGGGAAAGGGTAAAATTAGAAGTAGGAATTCCCTGGTGGTCCAGTGGTTAAGACTCTGTGCTTCCACTGCAGGGGACACGGGTTAGATCCCTGGTTGGGGGACTAAGGTCCCGCATGCGGTGTGGCCAAAAAAAAAAAAAAAGAAAGAAGCAAGTAGGGATCAAGTGTGGAGTTGGAGTGAGTTTGTCCCGTGTCCCCCATCCCGGGGGAGCTGGGAGGGCTTATGTGGCAGAAATATGAAGAAGAGGGAAGGGGCTGGGTGCTGGGAGGATGGGGGATTCCTGTCATCTTGGCCTCGGGCAAGGTACTTTACTTCTTCATCTGTACCATGGGAATGACTGCAGTGCCATTCTCCCAGGGCTGTGTGAGGAGTAAAATGAGGTCATATAAGTGAACTACCAGCAGTAGCTCTGGGCAGAGTGGTTGATCAACAAGATGGTTGTCTGGGAAGTTGGTTCCCACTGTACCCCACTCTACTACTGCCCCTTTGGCAAGTTTCAGGGTAGAGCATTCATGGTAACCATCCCCAGGCAAGGAAAGTTCCACTGGATTTAGAGGGGGCTTGTGTGCTGAGATGGCAAAGGCTGGTGCTGGGGTTGTGGCATTAGAAGAAGCGGCCACAGAGAAGAGGGTCCAGCAGGGAGCATTGGCAGCTGCCACCAGCCCCCAAAGGGGCCCCTCCTGCTGGCTCCTGTGTCCTTGCCGGCAGCCGAGGCTCACTAAAGACATCATCCTGGGGACTTCCCTGGCGGTCCAGTGGTTAGGACTCCGTGCTCTCACTGCCGGGGCCCAGGTTCCATCCCTGGTTGGGGAACTAAGATCCCACAAGCCGTGCGATTCAGCCAAAAAATAAATAAATAAAAACACCTGGGCCAGATGGCAGCTGCCTACTGAGGACTAGCCTTGAATGGAGCCACGTTATTGACCAGCGTGGGCAGAGCTTGTGGCCTCAGGCCCAGTGGGGTCAACAGGTCAGACAGGCCATGCAAGGCAGCACGTAGGGCCCGGCCCCCTCCACCTCTGGTTTCCCGGACCTGCAGCCCGCTGCCAGGATGGGGACAGAGCCAGGGAGGTAGGGGTCTCCCGGGAAAACAGAAAAGCCAAGAGCCAGGTTGCGGTTTCAGTTCTTGCCAGTGAGATTGAAAAATACACAAGACTTGGACCCAGTGAGAGCCAGGAGCCAGCCCCCATCCCATCTTCACGGCTCCCACCACCCTCCTTATCCAGCGGGCTCTGCTGTCACGGAGTCCCCATGAGACCTGGAGAATTCATGGCTTGCCCCCTAAATTCTCCAGTCCGTCCTGTCCCTGCTTGCTAGGTGCGAAAGGAATTATTTGCCCTCCAGCTTGTCCCAGCATCACGCAGCATCACGGTTCTGCAAGGCACTGAGATGAGTATCAGTGTCTCCCCAGCATGGCGCTGTCCCCAAGTTTAAGTTGAACTCTCTGAATTCCTCCTGCTTTGGAGACTCAGGCTGGCCCTGTGACATCATCCTTAGATCTGAGTTGAGCTCTGAACAGTTCCTCCAGCCCCTGAAATATCACCGCTGGCCCTGGAGTGTCCGTGGGACAGTCTGGCACTGAGCTGATGGCCCATCGACAGGGGTTGGGAGTGGAGGTGCAGAAGGCGTGGCACAGGCAGTGGTGGTGAGCAAGGTGGTGGACGTGCCCGGGGTGGGAGCACCGGGTCACCTGTCCCCTCTCCTGCAGGCCTCCCCTGTGTATAGCGTCAGCTTTCCCCGCAGGAAATTGGAGTAGATTCGGAAAAGTTTGCACAAAGTATCAACAGTGAATGTTCGGAGCGGGGCTGCAGAGGAGGCTGCGTCTGGAAGGGGGACGGCTCCCTTCTGCCAAGGACAGAACAGAAGGTTACCGGTGGGGACCCCGGCAGGAGAGGGAATTTGGGACAGAATTGCAGCAGGGATTCCTTGGCAGGGCCATTCTCCCATTTTACAGAAAGGGCAAACACAAGTGCAAGGGAAGGTCCTACACGTACCTGGGCTCCCAGTGCCCGAAGCAGGGAGGTGAGGCTTCGCAGGCCGCTAACAGCTTTGTCCACGTGCAGCTGCAGGGCCTCGGATGGCTGAGACGAGTTGGCCAACAGGGCCTGGCCCTGCAGGATGGCTTCTGAGAGCAGGGCCAGGCCCTGCCAGACTTCCACAGCCTGCTGCTGGACCTAAAGGGAGCGGAGACTTGGAGTTAGCTGGCCCAAGCCAGCCCCGCCCTCCTCCCTCTCAGCAGCCCCAAGCAAACAGTTTTGTTGAATGAATGAATGAACAAATGAATAAATGAATGAACATATTCCATTCAGCCCTCATCTTTGCTGCTCTGTTTCTTCTCTCTATCATTCTCCTCCCTGCCCTAGGAGGTTCCCAAAATGAGACTCCCCAAGAGGAAGGAAAAGATGAACTCACCTCCATCCTCTTCCAGGCATAGAAGTTAACCTTGGTGTCTGGGACAGTGATGTTCTCGCTGAAACTGCAGCCCTCAGCACAGCCCACCTGAAATGCACAGGCCTGGAATCAGAGGCCCCAGGGGCTCCTGCTGGCTTCGCCCCTTACCTAGCTTCCAGGTGTGCACTGGGGACTACCACTCTTATTACTTTTACTGGGGGCTCTGGCTCCCCGCTTCCACCCCTGAACCAAGTGCCAGGGGGGAGTCCAGGTTCCTGGATCTTGGGGGAGACCCTGGACCCCTGAGGGTGAGTTCTGTGGAAGGTCCTGGGGAGGGGGCCTCACCGTGGCATTTTCGGCCTCCCTGGCCTCCAGGATGTACCTCTCCAGGACTCGGCTGTCACAGATGAGGTGTGGGGGGGCGCCCAGGACTGGGAGGCCCAGAGGAAGCAGCAGCAAGGACAGCAGAAGCAGCCGGGCAGGGCATTCTAGGAGAGAGAGCCGGGCTGAGTGTGAGGCCGGGACTTGCAGGAGAAGGGGTGGTTTGGACCTGCACGTTCACCCATCCCGCTGCTCTGGCCCCGCGAGTCCTCCCGGCCCGAACCTTGCGAGCGCTCAGGCTCTGCCTCCTTTGCCTTCATTCAATCCCGCGGCCGCGTGCACACCCCACCCCCCAGCTACCGGCATCCACTTCTCCCGGCCAAACTTCAATCCCGGTGTGACAGAGGCTTCCCCTCTCGCAGATCCGAGTTGTTGCTCCCAGACCCAGGTATCAGCTTCCTCGGCACCCACGTAGCCGCCCCTCTTCTCCCTGGACCCCCAGTCCTCCATCGCGTCTCCAGCTCATATTCCGACTTTCCCGGGGACTCCCCCAGCCCGGCCGGCAGGTGAAGGCTGCCCCACCCCCCTTGCCCTTCCGGGGTCCTTGGCAAGTCGCAGGTCCTTGAACCCGGCCACCCCGGGGCCAACAGCCCCAGCGGTAAATTCCTCCTCAAACAGGGGCCGGGCGGGCGGGCGCTCCCGCGGCCGGGAGTACTCACCGCGCACCCCCATCTCCGCGCCTCGCCCGGCCCCTCAACGACCTGGGGCTCGGCGGGGGCCCGCGCCGGGGGCCCGCATCCCGGGAAGCTCGGCGGGGCAGAGCCACCCCGCCGCCCGAAGGAGGGGGCCGCCGTCCGGGGCGCCGAGCCGGGGTCGGGGCAGAGCGCGCAGGGCCCGGGGCCAGGGTCCGGAGGACTGCGCGGCGAGGCGGCCGGCCGGGGTTGGCCCGGGGACTGCTGGCCCGGGGAACTGCGGCGGCGGCCGGGGGTCGGGGCTGTTATCAGCTGTGTGCGTGCGTGTGGGGGGTTGGGGGGGGGCTGTGTGCGTGAGGGGTCGCGGGAGGGGGGGGCCGGAGGGGTCAGAGCCGGGGGCAGGACGCCTGGGTCGGGGGCTCGCCGGGGCGGGAGCCGAGCTGCCGCAGGGGCGGGTGCGGGGCGCGGAGCTGCCCGTCGTCGGACCCCAGGGTCCCGGGAGGGGCGGCTGGGTGCGCGCAGCGGGACGGGCAGAAGGCTGCGCTGCGACAGCAGTGCCATTCTGGGAAAGGCTGGGGACCCCGACGTCCCCCCAGGAAAGGGGGCGTCCCAGTCTTGGGCGGGGACTCAGAGCTGGGACTGTCTGGGTTCTTGCGAGGCAGCTAGGGCTGGAAGCCCGGAAGGTGCCTGCGGGGCAAGTCAGTGGCCTCCTTCTCACGATCCTAGTTCTTGTTCTAGAAACCAGTGTTCTTGTTGAGAAATTTAACGGGGCCGCACAAAGCAAGAAATCTGAGGGGGTCTTCTCCCCCACTCCTCACTTTTGAGGACCCTGAAAACCCAGAAATTGAACTTTTAGGTTAGTCTGCATGGTAAAATTCTTAGGAACTCTGAAATAGAGTGAACCCCCAGAGTGATGGCCCTTGGGATTTGCAGCTAAGACTTTGTGGCTTCTAGGAAGCCCTGAGGCAGCGGGGGAGCTCCCGGGGGGGGGGGGCGGGGGGGCAGGAGTCCAAGGCTAGCTGGCTTATCAAACCTTGGAAAGTGGCCTGAGTCCCTGAGCCTCAGTGCTCTCACCTGTCAAATGGGCCTCATGAAAGCACCAGTCCCAGCTCATGCAGCTTTCATAAAAGACAGGGAAGTCCTACAAATACCGGTGGTTATTTATACGTTCATTCACTCCCTCCCCAGTCCCATGATATTAGAGATACTTTATTCATGCGTTCAGTGCCTTCTTTGTGCAAGACAATTGACTAAGAACTTTTCAGGACAAAAAGGTGTTTTGAGCCCTAAGTCCTGCCTCCTGGAGTTTGTAGTTTACAATAGAGATAAGGTGGGGACACGGAACTGTGCACGAGGACTGGAGTGTGCAGATCCGAGCTGTGAGAGTTTGGAAGAGGGGGAGCTCACCTCTAGCTGGGAAATCAAGGAAGGTTTGATGCAGGAGATGACAACAAGCTCAGCCTTGAAGGGTGGGTAAGATTTTAATGGGAAAAGATGTGAGGTGGGTGCAGAGGCCGGTCCAGCCAAGTGCTTGGTGGGTCAGGTGTGTTGGGGTGAAGGGTGGGGTGGGGGAGGGAGAGGTGGAGATCAGACTAGGGTGGCGGTTAGGGAGAGGTCAGGTTGTGAAGGGCCTTGAATGCCCCTCTGAAGAATTTGGAGTTTGTTTGGAAAGAGTGGGAATTATTCATTCATTCATTCAAGAAATATACATATAAGAGTACCTACTCTTGGCCAGGGACCTGGGGATAGAGCAGTGAATGAAACAGACAAGAATGCCTGCCCTGGTGGAGCTGACATTCTAGTGGAGAGATGGATGATAAACACAGAGAATGAATAAAAGATAGAGGAGCTCCAATGGCTAAAAGAACTAAAAAGGCCCAGGAGTGTCGGAGGAGGTGGCAATTTTCGATGAAGCAGGCAGGGATGCCTGCTGAGGTGACAGAGGTGAGGGAGGGAGATAAGGGGTGGGGGGAGGAACCTGATCAAAGAGGGGTTCAGAAAGATGAATGCGAGGGGTGGGGAGGCAGAGGCTTGTGGGAACTAACGAGGGCCCGAGTCGCTCCCCTGCCCTCCGCTCACTGCGAGTCTGCTCTCGGGGTCCTCCCCGAACCTGGTGTGCGGCTGCTATGGCTCTGCACACCTCACTACGTCCTCTGGTCCCCGTTTCCTCCTCAGCGCCCAGGCAGCCTCCCAGCCCCACTTGGCCCTCAGAGCCCAGCTCTGGGACAAGATCCCAGCTGTGGGACAAGCACACGCACACTCACGTCCACACACGTCCGCACATGCGTTCTGTCCCGACCCACCACACACCCCCCAGCCTCTGCTCTCTGGGTCCCCTGACTCCTGCGTCACTGCCCTGACCTGACCATGGAGAGGGGCCGGGGACAGATGGTGGGGGGAGTAGACACAGCCGGAGGAGAGGAGGAGCCGTTCGGGCTGTGGGACCTGCTTCTGCCCTCACACCAGCTTGTCAGAGGTCCCCAGGCCCCTGCCTTCGAGAAAGGGAGATGGGCCCTGAGCACCAGCCCCTAGCTGCTGGGGCCTGCTGGACAGGGGTGACGCTGGCTCATCCGCTGGGGCTTTGGGAGAGAGAACTGCAATTGCAGCCTGGGAGAGAGGGCAGAGTAGAGGATCTCAGCTCACCCTGCACCCAATCCCTAAGCTGTAGTAATCCTACCAAGAGGGCAGAGGCTGGTTTAGGAGCCAACTTCAACCCAGGTGCTTGTGGATACTGCCCAGTAGGGTCCATCCATCCAGCCTTGACAGCAGGGGCCCCTGAGGAGCAGGAAGCTACCGTCTACCCAGCCTTGACAGCAGGGGCCCCTGAGGAGCAGGAAGCTACCCAGGGCTCTCCCTCCGATGCCCACCACCCCCGTGCCAGTGCCCCCTCCATCTGCCTGTTTGTATTTCTCTGGCACGGGGCTGGACCAGTGCCAGGACCACCACGGAGGGTCTCCGCACCATCCCCTCCAGTTATCCCCAGCCCTGCCACTAGAGTAACTTTCCCACTGAATAGCTCGTTCGTGGCATTCCCCAGAGCAGGAGCCTGCAGTGGCTCCCGGTTGCCTCTGAACTAAGACCCTCTGTGCTCTGCCATCCACCTACCTTTCCAGCCTGTTCTCCCACTTTGCTCACTCCCGCTCTCCTGCATCACATGAGCTCAGTTAGATGGTTTGCTGCTTCCTGCCCTTCGCTCACTATGTGCCTTCCACCTGGATCACCCTCCCCCTCCCACTATGGCTCTCAAAAGCCCAAACCCAAGCATTACCTCCTCTATGAAGCCTTCCCTGATACCCCAGCAGGAAGCTGTCTCCCTGCTCTGGGCTGCCATCCTTTATGTACACGTCTTAGGCCTCTCCTGACCGGGCCACCATATACAGCTGTCACGGTTGAGCACTGCACAACTCCAGGGGGCGCCATTCATATCGACCCTGATGAGAATGGTACTCTCTGGAGTCATGCAGCACAGGTGCTCTGTTAACCGGAGGAGAGAGCAAAGGACAGTGTAGGCAGGTCTTGTTCACCTGGGTGACACTGGGCACCCAGCATGTTGCCTGTTTATGGGCTTCCCTCAAGTGTGGTTTGCATTGTGTGGTCCCTCCACTCCAGACACCTCAGCCAGAGAATGGGAGACCTAGAGGGAGGAAGTGAGCTACTCATCCTCTGAATGCTTGCTGGAGCCATGCCTGGACAACCTAGCTCTGGGTTCGTGGGGGCCCGAGAGGCCTCCATCCACTTCCTGAGCAGGCAGCCCCCCGAGGCGGGGTCTGAACCAGAGGATGGCGGGGGTGGAGGCAGGCTCTGTTCCATGGAGTCTTCCTGGCAGCCAATTCAGACTGAAAATCCAAGAAGCAAATTTACAGCCCCCTGAGCTGTCGCAGACCCCCAGGCAGCACGAAGTCCCAGCTGCCTGGAGTCGTGTTGGGGACGAGGGGGGCCTCTGGACTTCTCCTCCCTCCTCCTTTCCAAGCAGTGGCTTCTCAGCTGGGCTCGGGAGTTCAGCCAGCAGCCCAAAAGACCTTCTGTGCTAGGAAGTGAGGTGGCCGGGACCTTGGAGGGTGCGGTGGGGGAGGGCTTCCTGGCGCTTGGGGAACTGGGAAGGGAGTGAGGACTTGGAGAAGGGATTCCTGCCAGACAGCAAAAGGAAGTCCTGTGCGAAGGTCACTTTGGAGAAACTGAGGGAAGTTCTGCTTACTTGGCCACAAAGTAGCCAGTAGAACCAGACATCTGGGTTTCTGTTCTCAGCGAGCAGCTCTGTGGCTTCAGCAGGCTAATGGGGCTTGTCTGGCAAACAAGGGAGCCCAGATTGGAGGCCTGAGCTGTGCCACTAGCACCTGACGTGGACAAGTGACCTTACGTCTGAGCCTGGGGATGGTAAAAAACTATAGTAATCGCTTGCCAGGGCTGTCGTGTGATTATGTAATGCCCGGCACGGGGTAATCAATAAATGCTAGCAATTATCACGCCGCGCTCTGCTTTACCGTGGCTGCTACTTGTCCTGGCTTTGGAGGCCTGGAGACCAAATCTCCAGCACGTTCGTCAGCCCTCCTCCGGCGTCCTCCACTGTTCCCTCTGGGGAGCTGGGCATGGGCTCATGACGCCTTATCTCCGGTGTTGTACCTTTACCAAACAACTCACTGGTAAAGGTCATGGGGATAGTGGGGTGCAGATGGAGGTACCGCTGGGTGTGCACATCCACTGCTCTTTGCAGAAACTTGCCACTGAACAAAACTGAGTGAAATGGCATCACTGTGGGAGCTGGGGGGTGGCAGGGGTGAAGACACAGATATCAAGACAAGTCTCACACTTAGTTTATTCAAAGCCTGGGGCCAAACAGGGGTTTCTTGTCCCATTAACATGGGTCTCCTCCCAAGGGAGGCCCGGAGAAGTCCCAAGGACCTTGGACTGAATGAGGCCTGAAGTATTACCAGGCCAGCTTCCTCGGTTACTTGTCTCTTGCCTCTCCTCCAGTGCTTGTGTCCTTGAAGGAGGGCGCCCAAAGCACCAAGACCTCCACCTTGGGATCCAGAAACACTTCCCCAGATTAGATTTCTATGAAGTGTCAACCCCATCTTAGGATCTCTTGCTCACCAGTATGGCTGAATATTCCCAAGCTCCTTCCCATGGCACCCATCCTTTATCAGAAGACAGAGCTGCTAAGT